TACAGGCAAATTGGGAAACAAGATTTATCACTGCTATTTTCAGGATTTGTTAAAATAATGCTAATAGCAGTTTCATTTTAAAATTCTCTTTGCCCTGCCCCTTCCAGGCCAATCTCTGCTGTTGAAAAAATCAGAGAAGACTATAGAGTGAAAAGTAGAAGCCTTCCCATTCACACCTTCCCCAAATTTACTCCCTTTCCCCTCCCTGCTAATTCTTGTGTCTTAATAGAGAAACAACAACAAAACCTTCTAAGGACCAAAGAGAAGGGAAATCAGAGGCACTGAGAATTAATCATAGTAGTAAGTATAATTCTGTCTTGGAAGTACAGCCAAATGCTCCTTAGAAGCAAGGATGGGGAGACTTTGTCTCATGTACTTTGGACATGTTATCAGGAGGGACCAGTCCCTGGAGAAGGACATCATGCTTGGTAAAGTAGAGGGTCAGCAAAAAAAAGGAAGACCCTCAAGAAGATGGACTGACACAGTGGCTGCAACAATGGGCTCAAACATAGCAACGACTGTGAGGTATGGCCCATGACTGGGCAGTGTTTTGTTCTGTTGTACATAGGATCACTATGAGTAGGAACCGACTCAACAATAATTATAATGTTGTTGTTGTTAGGTGCCATTGAGTCAATTTCGACTCATAGCAGCCCCTTGTGACAGAGTGAATTGCCTCATAGGGTTTTCTAGGCTGTAATCTTTATGGGAGCAGATCACCAGGTCTTTCTCCCTTGTCAAGGTGGGTTCGAACCACCAAGCTTTTGGTTAGCGGATGAGCACTTAACCATTGTGCCACCAGGGCTCATTATAATTATAATAGTAAGTAATAATAATAGTAAACTATTATTTATGGAATAAATGCTCATGCCAGACATTATGCTGGTATCCTACATACATTTTTAAAGAAAACTTAACCGGTTCTGATTGGGACATGAAGGAGATGTTTTGGAGGATAGATCATCCTCCTCAACCCCCTCACATGTGTGAGAATACTTTGGAGAGCCCTGGAAGCCTCTCCCCTTTCCTCCACTTCCTAAACTCCCCCCTTTAGGCTAAAAGGAGGCTGCTTTAGCAACAAAGAGCATTTCAAATGCCAACATCCAGCTTTTTTTTCAATTGAAATCTGAATGTGGTTAAGTCTGAATAAGGGGGCATGATTAATTACAGCAACCATCTTCATCTGCCCAGGGGCTTGGCCTGAAAGAAATGAGGCCAGGCCGAAGAGAAATGAGGCTGCAGGCAGGTAGGCATGCTAATAAAACTTTGTTAACTGGTCCTGTCCTTCTTTCAACTGCTGCGCGCCAGGTTGGAAGGCTTAAGGAATCAGCTCCTGTTTCTCCAGCTCTGGCCGACCCCAGAATCAACTCCCTTGATTGGAAATAAACAGGATCTTCCTTTTTGTCCCCAGGAATGTGACAGAGGAAGGACTCTAAGGGAAAGGGCCTCTTCTGCCAAAGAATAATAATAACAATGATGACAGTAGGAATAAAATATTGTCCTCTTCATCAAGGGTGATAAGGAAATGCCCAGTTGTATGTGTTGAACCTTCTCACTCTCTCTCTGCCCGTTACCAGTTGCCGGTGAGTTAATTTCAGCTCATGGTGACCCCATGTGTGTCAAAGCAGAACTGTGCTCCATAGGGTTTTCAATGGCCGATTTTTTTTAAGTAGATTGCCAGGCCTTTTTTCTGAGGCACCTCTGGGTGGACTTGACCCTCCAAGTGCATTAACCATTTTCACCACCCGGGGACTCCTTTGCCCCTGTTAGAATTCCAGAATTCGTAGGCCCAGGATTTCCAGCCCAGGTCTGATGTGAACTTTCTGTTATGAGGGCCTCATGAGTACTCTCGTATGAATTAGGCCACATGCCTTGATTTTGGGTTCAGAAAATAGGATCACAATTATAGCACTTAATTTCCACCCAGTACTGCAAATGTCTGAGCGTAAGTCTGACCACCTACGTGTCTAATAAGTCATCCACATCCCTAGCGCCTAGCACAGTGCCTGGTCCTTGGAATAAAATGAGGCAGGGCTGGGGGGTCCCTGCAGCTCATTCCCAGCTGGCCATGGATTGGGGGGAGGGAACTGAGGAAAAGCCTGGATGGCTGCGTGAGCCTGCCTCTCCCTGGGTGCTCCTGGGGTAGGTGCAGAAAGAGCTGTGTTTCAGGAGAAGCCCCAACATGACTTGTCTCCTCTGTTCACTCAGTAAACTCCTTGTAGCCCAAAAAACTCGTTTGTTCACCCTCAGGCCAGCCTTAGCTCAGGCCAGTCTTGAGAGTGACAGTTCCTCTGTGATCCTTTGCTCTTTTCCCTCCCCAAGCCTGAGCCAGGTTACCTGAAGGACTTTACCTTTGCTATTCCTATTTAATTTTCCCTTTTGTTCACAAAGGTGATAAGGAAGTCAAAGGACTCTCCAAGCTGGTGGGTAGGATCGGGACAAAGGCGTTCCCAGTCTTCTGGTCCAGAGATATAGATGATTTTCTACTTCCTCCTCCTCCTCTTTTTTCTTTGGTTCTGAAGACTAACTTCTAAAAATTGCTAAGAGTAAGGAGAGGTAAATCTAGTCTGTTTCTGATGGAGCCTTCCCCACACTACTCAGCACATCACTATCCTGCTCAAGAACCTTCAATAGCTCCCCACTGTCATCAGCTTACATTTCAAACATTTCAAAGCCCACCTCAACTCTGAGTTGCCCTTTTATTTTTTGTGACTACCCCCCCCCCCATGACTCATCTCCTACAGTCAACTGGCCTTCTTGATGCATTCACTGAGTGGAGACAAGAGCAGGTGGGGAGTTATTCCAAACAAAGTAACAGCTTGTGTAAAGTTAAGCAGTACTGTGTGGAGTACAGGGTCACAGATGGGAGAAGTGGGAGAGGGGACTGGGGTACAAATGGGTGGGATTATAAAGGGTCTTGACGGACACACTTGAGATTTTGGACTGCATTATTAGTTGATGGCGAGACATTCAAAGATTTTAGGTAGGGTCAAACTGGGCTTTTAGAAAGATCATACTGGGACCATGTGGTAGAGGGAACAGCAGTGAGGGGGTCTGGAAAGGTGGGAAGGATCCCTACCCACTTCGGTGTCATTGGTGGATAGTGTCTGCAGAAGTCTAGCTTGGAAGACAGCTGTGCATGGAGGCAGGGGAATGAAAGACATGACCTCGAGCACTTCCCTCCTGTGGGGCACGATTCTCCAACATCATCTCTGAGTAGATTTGGGCCTGCTTTCACAGGTCCTCTTCTGCTAGCCAAACCCTTTCTAGGAAGGCTGAGGTGAAAGGTGGCTGGGGAGGACAGAGTATCATGACTGTCAGAGGCCTGGGCCCACTTCCTCCTTTTCAGGCAGGAAAGGCAGACAAAAGTGAACAATGCACCAGAGAGGGTGCGTCCCACTGAGAAAGGAGGGAGGAGCAGGAGGAGCTGGTCAGCAGGGCAGCAGGCCTGGAAGGGTCCCTTTGATCCCCCTTATCTCTGGAGGGCAAGCTTGCTTTTTTGGCCTGCAGGACCTTTTGTTGCAGCATTTCCTGGAAGCCCCCAAAGTAAACACAGCCGAGTCTGCATTCTTAAGCTCCACTTTGCTGTGTTGCTCTTCCCGGCAGAGAAAGGGCCAGGCAGGTCAACACTCAGAGGTTACTACTGCTCCTCAGAATGCTGACAATAACGGGCCACGTAACTGCGTTAGGAGCAGGGCCATCTGAGTGACAGCGATGATAGCCACAAAATACTTAATCATGATCATACTTAATTATCACTATCAGCTGCACAACCAGGGGCTTCTAAGTGCTGCTTAGACATAGGGGACAGTGAAAATAGAAGCCTTGTGACCACCCCCCTAGATAGAGGTGGAGGAGCCACAATTATCAATAGGCCTACTGAGCTGAGGTAACTGCGATGTGTGCGAGACCTGGAGTCTGGCACGTCAGGACTTAGTTTCCCCTTCTCTGTTCAAAGGGTGCCTATATCCATCTATAGCAAGGGGGCAGGATGGTGAGGCCAGTTAAGACTGGGCTGGCTTTTAAGCTGCAATAGGCAATGGGTGATAATATGACAATAAATTGGTAGTAGCTTTGTGTATCTTGGGGGTGAAGTGGGGAATGCAGGAAGGGACAGCGAGAAGTTTCTTCCAGAGGGGGCCAGGCATGACCTTGGGCATCCTGAGTTACCTGCCCACTGCGCCTAATTCCATCCAGGCAGCAAAGGACATGCCACACTTCCAGAGAGGGAGGAAGTGGGGAGGAAGAGGCAGGAAGTCTCACCGATGACTTCGAGCCTCACAAATACCCTTTTCTTGTGAGAACGGGAAAATAAGAGAAGTCTAAAATTTTAGGACATCGCCCAATTCTCCTTCCCCAGGGTTTATTATTGTCAGCTTCCAGAGGCTATGTGGAGAGTGTGGGGGTGACATTAGCTGAGCTAGCGCTTTGTTGGGAAATACAACTCTCCCCATACCTGTACAAAGAGAAACCTCACTCCACCACGAATCTTTTCAACCTTCTGACTTCCTCCCACCCCACTAAAGCTGGGGGAAGGGAGTTCGGCCAAGAGGCCACCCCAACCCCTGCATTGACAAGGATTATGTAACCTGAATTGTGAAATACAGGAAAGACCCGGTTGTCTAAAGCCTCGGCTAACGGCTCAGATGGGGCGCCCCTAATGGGAAGATAACCCCCTCCCCCACATGCCCGGCCCTAACTAACTCTATATAAAGTTCTGGGCATAGAGTTTTTGGGGACGTTGTTTCTTTTCTCTTGATCCCTCTTGAGTGATTAGGCCCTGGAACGCCGGGCGCACGGGAGACTCTAGTGGCCCTGCCACCCGCGGGGGTGCGGCGCGCTGCGGGCCACCTGTTGCGGTGCGCGGTGGGCGTTTCCGAGGCTCACCCGCTCGAGGGCCGGGCCGAGGGCACGAAGGGCCGCGGTGTGCGCGCAGCTGAGGCGAAGTACCCGGGCCGGCCCGCGCCTCGTGCTTCCGTCGGGTCAGCTGACCGACCAGTGCGGAACTGCGCTCCCGGCCAGTGCTCCTCGCCGCCACCGCCCCGCGCCGCGGACCCGCCTGGTCCCGCCCGGTTCCGCTTGGTCCCGCCCAGTCAGCCATGGCGGGACTTGTGGTCAATGGAACACAAGTAAGTCCACGGGGGGCGGGGGGAGCCCCGCCCCCGCCGGGCCAAGTCTGTCGGGGGAGGGAACCCCTGGGGCGAGGGGCACCCGCAGAGACTGCTGAGCGTCCCGAGTTTAAACAGGGTTTCCTGCCCCCGCCTCAGGGGGCTGCGTTTGCAGGTGGTGCGTCTGTCAGCTGCCCATGCCTGCTCTAGTTTGGCGAGGACAGTTCCCTTGTGGGCCTGGCACACCCCCTGGCTGTGTGGGAGGAAGCCCCGCGCCCTCCACGCCCCTCAGTGACCAGGTCTTAAGGGGCAACTCCTTCGTCCTGCGCGGTGGGCACAGTGCCGGCGACCCACATACTTTTAGAGGCTCATTAAAATGTTTCAGTTTCTTTTATTAAAAAACAACAAACAAAACTTTATGTCAAAGAAAACATTTTAATATATTAATATATTCGTCTTTATCACAATGCAGTCGTAAAATATAACTAAAAAAAAATCTTTTTTAAGTGGAGGAAGGGGCCCACACAAGTAAAAGTCCTGATGGCCCTGCGGGCTTTAGGTCTGGGAGCTCCCCGCTGACTTGGGTGGTAACCATACGCCCCTTACCCAAGGCGGTGGGAAGCCTCAGTTCTCCACATTATTTCGGCACCTGATTTCTTGAGCAGGGTGTCTGTGGATTGGCAGAGCTACAGTTTCAGTCCTGAGTGATAGACACCCTGATCTCACATGCCTTCAGCCCTGTGGTGAAGCCTCGGGTGTTTTTAGTCATTGCTGGAGGGATAGACTCAGCCACTCTGCGACCGGGTGCCTTTCACCAGCTGGGAAATTCGGGTCTCTTAACCTCTTCTCTGCTGCCTGGATAAGCCAGCCCTCCTGCTTCCCACCTTTCCCTGCACACCCTGGAGAAATAGTTCTGAGTGTTTGAAGCTCTCCCCACAATTGCCTAAGGCAAATAGTGTCAGCCACAATTAGATCTTGAGATAACTTTGGGCTAAAGGGAATGTTTCACTTTTCTCAACGTTCTAGAGGTTTTACACTCCTACGGATGAGATGAGGGCAGACCGTGCTTCCTCTCAGGCTGGCGGATGCCTGTTTGTTAATGCCTGCTTGTTATTCCAGGAGTCTTGTCTTCATTTGAAAGTACTTACTGTGTGCCTACTATGTGCCAACAGAGCCCTGGTGGTGCAGTGGTTAAGAACTCAGCTGTTAACCAAAAAGGTCAGCAGTTCGAATTCACCAGCTGCTCCTTGGAAACCCTACTGGGAAGTTGTAATTCTGTCCTGTAGGATTGATATGAGTCAGAATCCACTTGACAGCAAGGGGTTTGGTTTTGGTTTACTATGTGCCAGGTGCCATGCAGGGTGTTTTTGGAAATTAGCCCTTCCATTGTCTTTCTGCACCCTGTATGTAACAGAGCTCGCTTGGTTGCAGTGTCTCTGCACTCGAAACCCGTGAGGAGAGAGCTGGAGAACATCCAGAGTTTCAGAAGTGATAAGGCCAGGGAGGCACCAGCCTGCAGGAGAGGTTAAAAATGATAGGTCCTATTTATCCAGCAGGAAAAAAGGGGCTTCTGGAAGTTAAAATGGCTGCTGACAGGAAGGGGCTTATTATGGATTGAATGGTGTTTTCCCAACATATGTGTTAGGATTCTGATCCCTATATCTGGGGATGTAATCCTATTTGTAAATAGCTTTCTTTATTATGTGAATAAGGACACATCAGTGCACGGTGTTTCCTAAACCTCATGACTTCTGAGTGACCTAAAGAACAGCATAGACAGAATCAAGCAAGCACAAATGGGGGAGACAAACAGTATCTGATGATGATGGAGGCAGCTGAATCTATAAGCCCGGGAACTCCAAGGATTGCCAACTACTGGAAGCAGAAATAGACAAGGAGCTCCTCCCTAAAGCCACCCTGAATTTGGACTTCTAGCCGACTGAACTGTGAGAAAATAAATGTCTGTTCTTTAAAGTCACCCACTTCTGATATTTCTTTACCACAGTGCTAGGTGACTAAGACAGGGCTGGGAGAGGGCCTCTGCCCTCCCTTAGAGCATCTGCCCAGGGGAGTTTCCCTTTCCCTCAGACGCATCATTCTCTGTTTAGCTCCTTCCATGCTCATGGAGAACCTGATAGTGGGAGTGAGGGCCGTCCTGTGCCTCCTTTCCCTTTTCTCTTCCATTTTCCAAAATTGATTTTTCCCGTACCCCTGCTCTTTGCTCTTGGGCTGCTTGGGGTAGGATATCTCTGAAGTGAGGGTGAGGCATTTTGGGCCCTTGGGGACTGTTTTAAGCAGATGGAGCTTGCTGGAGAGGAGCTGAGAAGGCAGGTTAGGAAAATGCCCCTGGGGTGTTAGTACCCCATTTCTTAAACCACCTAGGCCAGTGATCTGAGTGCCTGGCTCTGGGATTAGGTTATTTATTAGCATTCTGCCCCATGTGATTTCTGATGACAACCATTACAAGTGGTAGCTCCTTGAATGTGTGTAGCATGGCACTTCTCAAACTTTGGTAGATCCTTCTTAAAGGAAAAAACAAAAAACTTCCATGAGTCCACAGTGTTGATGATTGTTTTTTATTACAATGCTAGTTAAATATACAAACAGAACCAGATGTAACTTTTTCATATTTAGAGATCTATAAAACCCAAATAAAGGAATGGTTTAAGTGCAAAGCAAACCATAACACCAATAAAGTTAACCATTTAATAAGGTGGATGATGTTGTTTTGCTGAAACTAGGTCATTGCTTTCAATGCGAGAATGGGCGGACTGCCATTGCATTGGTTGTGTAGGCCTAGAGTACAACATGTGTGGTGACATCGCAGTCCTCCCATCACTTTTCTCCATAAAAGCTTTTTGTTCAGCATGGGTCTGACTTCATTTGGCCTTCTCTTGGCTTGAATGCATCATTTATGTTCAGCGTTAAGTCTTCTCTCTTCTTTCTCTATTAGTTTATGATGAGGTAAGAAGCCCAACTGGCACAGTGGTTAAAGTGCTTGGCTGCTAACCTAAAGGTTCCAACCTGCCAGCCGCTCTGTGGGAGAAAGATATGGCAGTCTGCTTCCATAAAGATTTACAGCCTTGGAAACCCTATGGGGGCAGTTCTACTCTGTCCTGTAGGGTTGCTATTAGTCGAAACCAACTCGATGGCAATGGGTTTGTTTGTTTATTATTTTATTTTTTGGTTTATGACAAAGTAATGGCAACAATACCATTGTAGACACAAATGCAGACTTGGAATTTGGGCACTGAAATCTTTTGCCCCAGAGACATTAGAATAACAAATTCCTTTCATAGAGGTGGAAACCCTGGTGGTATAGTGGTTAAGAGCTATGTCTGCTAACCAAAAGGTCAACAGTTTGAATCCACTAGGTACTCAACTCTCTGGGGCAGTTCCACTCTGCTTATAGGGTCACTATGAGAAAATAAATGTCTGTTCTTTAAAGTCACCCACTTCTGATATTTCTTTACCACAGTGCTAGGTGACTAAGACAGGGCTGGGAGAGGGCCTCAACAGCAACGGGTTTGGTTTCTTTGGTTTTCATAGGGATATTGGTGTGATTCAGCAACTATTTGTGAAGTGCCTACTAAGTGCCAAGGATAGTAAGCTGTGTTTTTTTTAACATTAACTCATCTCATTTCCTATCATACAGGAAAGATGGAAATAATAGTAATATGTGACTCATGGGGCTATTTCATGAGAATTGATAAGATAACATATGTAATGTCCTTTTGGCACATGGTAGGCATTTAATAAACGTTATTATATTATTTTTAACAGTTTTGGAGGCAGTTATTGTCAGGAAAGGAAACAGAGATTCCAAGAGGTTGTGATTTGTTATGGATTGAATTGTGTCCCCCAAAAATATGTGTATCAATTTGGGTAGGCCATAATTCCCAGTATTGTGTGATTGTCCACCACTTTGTCATCTGATGTGATTTTCCTATGAGTTGTAAATCCTATCTCTATGATGTTAATGAGATGGGATTAGTGACAGTTATGTTAATAAGGCAGGACTCAATCTACAAGATTAGATTGTGTCTTAAGCCAGTCTCTTTTGAGATATAAAAGAGAGGAGCCAGCAGAGAGACAAGGGGACTTCATACCACCAAGAAACAAGAGCCAGGAGAGTAGCGTGTCCTTTGAACCCAGAGTCCCTGCACTGAGAAGCTCCTCAACCAGGGGAAAATTGATGACAAGGACCTTCCTTCAGAGCTGACAGAGAAATCCTTCCCCTGGAGCTGATACCCTGAATTTGGACTTCTAGCCTACCAAGAGTACATAGGGTTGCTATGAGTTGGAACTGACTTGATGGCACCTAGCAACATCCACAAGCCTGCTAGACTGTGAGAGAATGAACTTCTGTTTGTTGAAACCATCCACTTGTGGTATTTCTGTTATAGCAGCACTGGATGACTAAGACATGACTCATTCATGATAACACAGTTGGTAAGTAGCAGAATAGGGACTCAAGCTTGCAACCAGGGCTGTTTCTACTCTGACAGAGCTACCAGTACTGCACATTTAAAATCAAAGATCCCCTACCCCCACCTGTCAGTCTGACTACTAACAAACCCACCATCCCCAGAAATTTCCTGGGAGCCAGACCCTCTCCACTGCAAAGTGAATCCCCCAGTTTTCTGCAGTTTGGTAATTTTTTGCAGAATCTGCTGGGGATGGGGTGGGGAGTGGGGCTGGGTGTCTGCATGAGTGAGGATCCCTCCCAGACATTCTTTGTCTCCCTCTCTAGTGTTCCTCTCTGTAGGGATCTTTAAATTGATATTTTTCATTACCTAACGATGATATCCCTTTCTGTTGTTGTTCCACACAAGATGAAAGTCTTGGGGTACAATTTATATTGTTGTTATGTGCTATTGAGTCAGTTCCAACTCATACTGACCCTA